TAAAAGCTTTTCATAATCGCTGCCCCTGGGTGAAATATTCTTTAGCTCACATCGAATCAACGCGAATCGTCGCAATAACCCCACTTTCGCTTTCATGGTTGTGCACATTCAATGGTTGTGCAACTTGGATACTCACCCATCCATCCCTTTTGTCCGCTCTAAAGTGCGGCTTGCAGCCAGGGGGCCAAGCTCTCAACTCCCCCACTCCATCGAGCTAAATGACAGAGCTAAGTAGCTTTAGTCAGGTGTTACTCCATAGCGTCCTTCCCTTCCTAGTCAGAGGTAATTATTCCTGTTTCATACTAGGAGATTCCGAGATTAAAACAGATCTGGCTATGTTCAAAGCTCATATACACTGGTGTAACCTTGGATACTACTGATAAGGCATGCGAGTAGTATGTGATTTCGCGTAAATCCACTTTGCGTCTGTTGAAAAGTGGGATGTATTACGGGATTAGTGGAATTGCTTTGCGGCATTCGCTTACATTTGAATGATAGTATCCAGTAAAGTTCAGAAAGGCGCGTTCGAGAAGACGGATATTCAGTTTTTATGAAAAACATGCAAATGAGAGCCTTGATTCCCTTTACAATAGTCTGTAAACGTTCGGTTGGTGTTTTTCAGCAAATAACTCTGCAGCGAAGGCCTTCTTCCTTTCACTAGTGAAGTAGCTGTCTTTGTTCTAAATCATTAAGCCGATCGCATTCCCTGCAAACCCATGTACGTCGTCGGTTTACTTCGACGCCCTTGCATCTGAGATCCAGCAGCTCAAGTAATGCCGCCACCAGGTATCCATATCTAGATAGCATATAACATTCTGGTCAACATCTGCGAAGCTCATCGCGGGAAACCAGTCACCAGGAGCGAGGAGTTTGCCATACCTCTGATGACATCCAGGTCCCTTTCTTCACAACCAAATAGACTCAAACGCCAAAGATCACATTTACGTGACCCGACTGAAAAGACAGCTAACTCAAAACCACTGACGTATTACCAAGCGTTGCCCGCTTGAAATTCATCCTAATCCACGCAACCCAACAACATAATTGAGAATCATTTGAGGACTAGCCTTATCGCCCATTCTCCGAATAATCACGCACGCTGGGTTGCCTTTAGTGTATGCAAGAATAGCAACCTAAAATCCTCCTTTACAAACAGCAATGTGCTGAGCCTGCCAGATTTTCGGATCTTCTGGCCAGGTGGAAATTTTTGGTCGCTTTACCGACTATCAAATCGCTGAATTAGCCTTGCTATCCTCACACGCTTTGTACATTTGCTCTACAGTTTGCTATAACGCCAAACAACCTTGTCACTCCGCTTCAAATTTCAAACAATACCCGTCTGACTTTGTTGTTCTACCCCGAGCCAAAGAACAACATCCCACAAGTTCACCAGTCACCAGACACCCCACATAATCAGACTACACACCTCACAAGCATGTACACCTCCAGCATACCCGTGAAGTGAAAAATCACTGACGCCCCTCTCAAACCGTTTAACACCCTGTCACCTTGTCCGGATCGCCTCGTATCCAAATTTGTTCCGCCTTCAAACTCCAGATATGCGACGAAGTTGCAGTGACATCCTCATTCTACGTGTGCTTTGACAATGCTCTTGGGACTTGACCCACATCAAGCTATTCATTTGTTTGTGACCTCTTAATTCCACAGTATCATGTGCCCCCCGCCAATCCTACAAACTGACAACATCTACACCCTGTTCTTCTTTGTGCAACATGAATTCGCCTCGATCTTCACATAGCTGCTTCGCAGGAAAAGAACAGACCACGTGTGCGAGGCACTTGGCGAAATATCGCGTCCCAGGTAAGTGCAACAAACTACAGTTTTCATTTGTTCCACATTAGTCCTACCTGATCCATTTTCCCGCAGAATCTCATGCAGTTTTCCGAGTCTAATATGATATTTTACGGCAAAATAGTTGCATGTTTTGAATGTGTGCTTAAACCAAAAACCACCGAAATCTATCCTCGCTTTCTAGAGGCCTGGACTGATTGATCTTTCTTCTGAATTTTCGGCGCGCCTTTGACTTTGCCTTGCTTTGGCTCTAGAAGTAGCTTCACGTATGCTTGTCTAGAAATTAGGGGCTGCATTCCTTTCATTCTTTATGGCGTTCTAGAAGGCGTTAAATGACCCGATCATGCCTCAATCGTCATACTCCCACAAATCTGAAAATAAGTCTATTATTATTGCGTGAAGGATCAGTGTGTGGCATTTGTGCGCTAACCACGTACAATCTTTTGCGTTTTAATCAAACAGCCTTACAAAAAGCATAATGTCCAGGAAACTAAAGAAGCTCGTAAGAGGACTAAACTTCCCAATGAAAAACCGTTCATGAAGCACCGGCTGTCCGGTGCGATTTTGTGTAAGGAGGCAGGAAACAAACGTGCAGTCATCTGTTATTATCTTAAACATAAACATCAGCATTCTAAGCTTATGTACAATCGGCTTCTCATTAACTGACGGCTAACTGAGGACCAGCTATTCATCTGCGGGTCCTGATGATTTACGGTAGCCCGTCCTGGTAATTGTGGCCACGGAATTTGTTGAGATCTTTACCACTCAGGGGACGAACAACTGACATAAAAACTATCAACCAGCTCTGTCTAGTTATCGCCGTATATCCAAGCGATATTGTAGTGGTTGATACGCTTTGGATTCTGGCAAAACGTTGAGAGAACGGACGCGTGCTTTCATTTGTTTTCAAACGAAGTAAATGTAGAAAAAACCCGCGCCACAAACCATTTTGGATAGGCTTTTTTAAAGTAACTGATGTAAGAACCCTAGATACCAGCCTTTCCCTTTTAATCACAGTCGGCATGTGCATCTGGCGTCCGATATGTTTACCTCCGTGAAAAATAAATAGTTTGCACACACGTGTAAGTCATTCAGATTACTTAGGGAATTAATGTGCGAGCAGAATCAAGTGAATGCTTTCTTCATGGACAAATAGGACAAGTTCCGAGTGGCTACTTCACTAGGCAGCGTGGAGCCCTGGCAGCATGATAGTCATGCGCGTTAGCTAGGTTAGTTTGTCGTCTTATAGTAAAGACGGCATGGATGTTCCGGAACATCTCGCCGGTAAATGGATGTCTGTGCTCCTTCGCAACAAACGTACATGGGTCCTCAACAAGTGGAGGCCGTACGTTCTTCCAAATTGCATGATGTAATCGCTTGCTTCTGCAATATAAACCAGGAACACAGTTATAGACTTCCAAATTGCATGATGTAATCGCTTGCTTCTGCAATATAAACCAGGAACAACAGTTATAGAGGTCTCTGAGCACATAATTCGGTATTCGAGCAATCAGACATGTTTGAAGATAGAAAATTATCTACGCGAGTGGCGTCTAACATATTTAATCAACAAGCACCACAAATTTCTTAAAGCGCTCGGTGAATTATTTCAGCTACAGAACTCTGTCAACAATGTACACTCTAAACGGCTTATGTTTTATTGCAATTCACGATGCCTTAGCTCGTTGGGCACCGTTTCACAGTCGGTGACAATTTATAACCTCGATGATTAGCTCAGTTAGGCAAATCAATAATGTCAATAATATCAATAATTTATTGAAAAGTTGATCGTACATAAATGATTTTCCCAATGAAGTGGTAACCCTTGAAACGTTGCAGATTTTAATGATTCAACCCCATTGCATAAATGCAAAGCGGCGTAGAAAAAACAACGATAAATTCCTGATTGAATTGATGCTGTCCCGGTTGAAACCTGTTTACTCCAACACACATAATCACTCTTACACAATAAATATGCCGCTATCTCAGGGCAATAGGTGTGAGCAGTCAGTGTACAATGAGTAAATGCTTTGTTTATCTCAACTGAATCGGACGATAACTAACCACACACGGACCTAGATACTTTGTGAATGTGTAGGACAAACAGAGGTTCTACGCGGCAAGCCAATAAAAAACGAGATAACGCCAAGAGTTTGCTTGTATGTTTATGATTATTTCTGGTTGTAACCTTAGCGATTTCCTGTATTTTGTGAGGACTATCAGAGCAGTTAAAAGCCACGCACGGATTTGTCAGTAGAAAAATAACCATGTGGCGCTCAGAACATAAATGTTTGAGAGCCAAAGTATATTCGACCTGATTCGATCGAAATGCTAGAATAGTACTGTATATTAATAACGCCTTCGACGCCGCATATCATGATAAATCCTAACTCATCGCGGACGACATAAAAATCGATTACACACTTTCTCCCTATGCTTAAACTCTTGCCTTTCGCCAAATACAACAAGATTCATACTCTTACTTGCTGGTCAAGTGCGTGTAGCCTAAATTTCTCTTCTCCTACGTCCCACATAACTTCCGGTTACTGCTCAGTCCTAGCTGGTACGATCACACTTAGTGTGAACTCTGTCACCCATTCCACAGAGATCAAAGACCTTCGTCTCAGATACCCTTACACCTCTATTTTTCCCATCAAGTCCTGTTATAGACTGCCCGAGCACGTAGACTCCGATTCCAAAATTACGCTCCTTTCACTTTCGTTCACGAAGGTCATAATTTCCACGCTATAGGTGCGACGAATTGTGAAGCTGCCCTGCTTTCTCTCCTTTCTATACCCAAAGTTGTAGGCTGGCACTCTAGAACGTCCAGCGTTCATTCACAAAAGGTTGTTCCGACGGACCAGCCTTGTATATAACCACCCGCGCTGTACAAAGCAGACCTTCAGGCACTATTGCTAAATTTAACTCCCTCACATCATCTGCTGTACGTCTTACGCCATCTGATTATGCACCTCGCAATCCATTCAGCACATGCACACTACAGTGCGGAATGCCACTGGTTGGCTTGATAGCTCGCGCTTAATCATAACTTGTTCATGGTTCATACGCTCTGTTCATTCTCGTTTTGTCCCGATTGTCTCAATGGTATCTGCCACCTTATTTGCCTCCGCGACCTGCCCTTTCCAGCGGCCATTTGTCGTTAGCTTGTCCGAACTAACTGAGTTGTTTTACTGGCTTAGTTCTCCCATGAACGGATAAAATGTCTGGTACCTTGAGTTCTTTATTAATGTGCATGCCACAGTTATGACTGCATGGTGGTAGGCCGCTTTGCAGATTTGGTAGCATTCACGAGGGGTTAAATGCCCATGTAGTGGCCGGTACTTCCTGCAGGGAGTGTCGCCCTGTTGCGCTGCACCATGGTGCGCCCGTGTGCCCTCAACTCCTCTGGTAGCATCGGTGCTTCGCCTATCGCCGGTGATTCTGAGCATGGTCTTTAATTCAGGAAATCAATAAAAAGGCGCTATTGTTTTCTGCTTGTTGCTACTGAGACGGACTCGTCCCGGTTGTGTCATTCAAGTGGGTTGGAGTTGTCCTTATTGTGTCATTTAACTGACAAAGCTGTAAGCTACGGACGGCGTGAAAAAAAGAAATTCGTAAGAAGTGCAGACGGAATGGCCTGAAGGCTGTGATGCCCAAGGCTTTCACCGACGTGCGAAGCTCTAGCTCTCTTTGTCATAATTGGGGTTGTGCCGCAACAAAGCCCACTTAATCAACCCAACAAAACATACGTGCCTACCTACTGCTCCGGGAAGTGAACGTATACAATGAGAAATATATGTATACAGAGGATCCTAGCCCTCCGCCACCAGCATGCGAGACCAGTGCCCAAAGGCTTTTTATTCGCCATGCACCAGTTTCTATCTTGGAGCTGATAGCCGTACTTCGGGAACTGATGATTACGTCTCTTACATTTACTTGCTCTCCTGGTACCCTCCGAATGTTATAAATAATGTAATAGTGTAACAATGTGCAATAATGTATAATATAAT